ACTCCCAGGAGCTACCGGGCATGGACTGGAGAATAGAGAAGAGCGAGAGGTGAAACACCCGAGAGAAAAGGGATGCAAAACCCCAGCTCATGTGCACACCGCCTGTATCAAAACAAACAAATACGGTGCATGCGCAGCAGGGATGCCAGACGTGGGTCACCAGAAGTCGCGAGCTGAAGAAAGAAACCACGAATGTGACTAGAAAATAGACAAAATAGTGTTGTTAACGACCAAATCCCATATGAGAGAACACAGGGCAGCCGCCAACCGTAGTCGAAAAGAGCAGGAAGGAGCGAAAACATAGCACAGCTCCCCATTTGGGCTACAAAAAGCCCAACTGGGCTACAAGGAGTCCAATCTGGCAACCTTGTGTGCAGCGCAGGATAGTGCACGGAGAGAAGAGAAAAATGAAAGAACAAAACAGGACCGAAAAACAAAAAGCTTGGAGAAGGACCAGCAAGCCCCAGAAAGAACCGGAAGACGACAGACGTTCCAAGAAGGCAGGGAGAAACAAAATCTTCTCGATCCTTCTAGAACATAAAGAAGCAAACGTGAAGCACGAAGGCATGGAAGGCAAAATTGCACCTGAGACCAAAAGCCATGCAGATCCCCGAGAGGAGGGGAACATGACCATGAAGGCCCGTCCCGTCCCAAGATGAAGGATGGAGAAACATACCCACCGACAGGACGGACCCGACGGATCCAAGGGACGAAGAACTGATCCCGGGGAGGGGCCAACTCCCAAAAACATGTACGGAGAGGGGGGGGGGGGCAAGAAAAAACCCCACTCCTCATAACTGCAAGCCTCACCCAAAAGGGTAGACAAACCCAGGTCGGGTCCAAACGTCAGCCCCTCACCAGCCACTGGAACCCACATGGTAGGCCCCGGGCCGAGCAGATTTCCCCCTAAGCCCCAGCCTTGCAAGAAAAAGCCCGGGCAACCGGACAAATACTAAGGAAGGGAGCCCACTGGCAGACTCATACAACATGGCTGGAGGAACAAGCTCGAATGCCCCCCGTCGCTACCCTGGAAGGGGGAAATCCTCGAGACCGCCCGAGTCTCAAGACCAGCGAAGCCTTGCCCTGACCCCGAACCCACAAACAGTAAGGATCCGGATGCAGGGAGAAAAGGGGAAGGGGGAACCATAACAGGGGAAGACAAGGGGGCGCAGAAGGAACAAAATCGAAGCGTCCAACACCCTTAACCCTTGTGTGTATAACCTGTTAAGTCATGTTCCCTGATCACAGGAAAAAAAAAATTGGACTTGCCGGCGACGTAATTGAGCCGACAAGATGGGTGATGACGTCACTATTTGCATGTTCGCTCATGCACGGTGATTCCCAGAGGCGTCGCGCGCAGTCTTCAAGCAGCCAGAGTTGCCACGAATTTATTTTCACATCATTATTTAGAGTGTCTAGGCCTATTTTATTTGCAATATTAGTCACTAATTGTGTTGCACATAATGTTACATCACAGTTATTGTCAATAATTGTTGCATACATCGAGTATACACATGCGCACACAAATGTTTTCCATTACGCCATTATATTATGTAATCACAATGATCATTATTTTATATGTACACACAAGCACGCACTATGTACAGGTTTTTGCACTATTATTGCACATTTAGAATTCTTGGAGTGAGTGGTAGTCGTTGAAGCAGTTGACAGCACACAATGGAACTGCACACCCTTCACACCATATTTGCACCATTTTACGTTTTTGTTCTCTCCTTTTTGTTGTTTTACATACTAGGCATTCACATTGGCCTACTGCACGCTTTCCAGCTGGTGGCAAATTCTTTAGTCTGTGTTGCTGAAAGGCTTCCATGTGAGCGAGCCTGGGTGTTGCATCATGCTGCAACACTGGGTTCATGATTGGTCTTCGTATGCCAGGGACTTCTTGACCAAACTTTGCTAATAACTGTGTTGCAAGTGTAAAAGCAAATGCACGGAAAATAGGTTTACCTCCAGTTTTCACCAGATACATATTATAGCAGTTCAACATGCTCATGTCAACAAGATGGAAAAACACTTTTTTCGTCCATTTCAATGATTTCCGCACACACTCGATAGTGCCGACCATCATGTCAGCCTTATCAATCAAATGCATGTTGATATTGTAGTCAAGAACACAATCTGGCTTATATACTGGTTCTTTCGTTACACGGTGCACCTTGCCACTGTTCACCATTGTACCTTCATGAACGGTTGTCAGCAGGTTCACTTCTCTCTTGTCTTTCCACCGTACCGAGAGTATTTGATCACATTTCTGTACCTGGCACTCACCAACTGCAAGTCCACCGTCAAACACTGGCATTTCCCTTCTTCGTGCCTTTACTGTGCCAACCAATCCGGTTTTATATTTAATCAAGAATCTAGCTAGCAATGGACTTGTATAGTAATTATCTGTGTATAGGATGTGGCCCTTGTTCATCCATGGTGCCATCAGTGACTTCATCACACTACCCGAGAAACCATGTTCGTCGTTACCGGGAATGTCTACATCGCTAGCTGAATACAGAATCATGTGTAACACTTATCCTGTTTCACAGTCACACAGTACAAAGAATTTCAATCCAAATCTGTTTCGATTGGAGGGAATATACTGCTTGAAGGAAACACGTCCTTTGAAAAGTACAAGGGATTCGTCAATCACCAGCTTATGTGCTGGTACATAAAAATCTCTGAATTTTCCAATCATTTCATTCATATAGTGCCTGACTCGCCGAAGTCTATCATCCTCTGTCCGGTCCTCATTACTTGCGAAATGCAGACACCTGAGGAGTATCTAAAATCTGTCTCGGGACATATATTTCCCGAAGATAGGTATTGGAATAGTCAGATCTTTGCTCCAGTAATCTGTGATAGCGTGTTTGACACAGTGCTTCATCAACATACATATTGCTAAAAACACATACATTTCACCTACATTGGTGGTTTTCTAACGTTGCAATCATGAAAATTCTGTTATCTCTCTTCTAATGAGATGAGCGTCATGAAGGTTCGCTTGGTGTACAATATATTCCATGAGCAGTTCATCATAGAATGCTGTAAAATAATCCAATTCACTCATATCCTCTCCATTATCAGGGAAAAGCTCTGTAATCCCAACATCTTTATTGTCAAAGGCAGGAATTCGAGGAATAAAACTAGCACCATCACTCCACACTAGTACACCTGGTGTCCTGAGAGACGCAGGGGACGCAACAGGGGCACGACAGCGAGGAAGCGATGCACACCGTGGACCAGGAGCTGAAGCCCGTCTACGCACAGTACGGCCGCTACGTGCAAGTGAGGTGGAAGCACGTGAACATGAGGCTCTTGGTGCCTCATGTTGTTCCATGCGGTGGCGCTTGGCTGGGCGATACGCTTCTGACGCAACAAATTCTCGCCCAGTAACACCACTGGTACTGGCACCAGGCTCGGTAACACTATGTTCTGATTCCACTTCACTAAAACCAGAAAAAGAGTCACCTTCCGCTGACTCGTCACTGAAAATATCCTCAGACTCTAAATAAGCACAGGAACTGTGTGGTTGAGGGTGAATTGGAATAGACACTGGGCAAGGTGGCATGGGTGAGCGTATAGGCCTCGCCATGGGAGGCAGCTGTATCTCATTTTCACTGTCCGTACTATGAACAAAACATCGACTAGACCAATGAGCCCGAATGGGATTTTTTCCAGGGCCCTTAGGCTGACTACTAAGGGAAACCCAGGTAAAGTACTGCTAACTGGTTAGCCCAACTACCGAGAGATCAAATTAAAAGCTGAACCCTTGTGATGTGTATAATCACAGAGGACCACCTGAATAACAGAGGGTGACCATGAACCAAGGAGCAAACCCCCCACCAGGCAACAAACAAAAAAGAAAGGAATAACCCTGGAAAGTACAACGTCTCCAGGAGGAACAGAACCGGTACAGCACTGCTCGGACACAGGAGCCAGAGTCGAATGACTGCCACGCAACACATCAGCCTCAGAACTGAGGTTGGGTAGCTGGTGTGAGGGGTCTGGGGCTCCCCATTCCGTCTCCCAGGGAGGGGAAGCTGCACAGACAGCAGAGTAGCAGTGGTTGTAACATCATGCTTGCTTGTTTTCAGACTGTGGAGTTCTGCTAGATAATTCGATTTTCGGTAGCAATTTTAACCAGGAGGCACCTGTTTTAGGATGCCTACCTTTCTGGGTTTTTAACCCGGTAGATAACAGACATAGAATGCTTCCAGCCACATGGGGGGGTTTCTATAGGCCATTGCTCCTCGTGCCTCTCTGAAGGGCCAGGTTCTGGCCGTGGTCCCCGGTAGGCTAGAACTCCAATCAAACTGACTGATGCCACAGTCTAATATATGCATATCAGCCCAGTATAGCTCCAGGGAGCCGGAGGGGCTCTCCACAGAAAACACCACTTAACTGAATAGCAGAACACTGGAGCCAGAACGGAAGAGAGGCAACCTAGCACGCACTACATCAGCAAATAACTGAAGGTAAGAATTCCGGCTGATTATCAGCTGCCTTCCCCCTTCCCCCTCCCCAAAATGATTTGGGGGAGGTGGGGTAAATGAGCTTGCACTAGTTTTGAGACTATTCAATCATTTGTTTACATAATTATGGACGATGTTGCCAGTTTTAGAGGTTGTGGTCTCTACTGAAGCCAGCAGTGGTTTGTTTTGACTTACTGACTTTCTGGTTGCTTCTCCTGTGGTGGTATAAATAAATAAATAAATGCCACTGCTTCCTGTGCTTCTGGGAAAGGGGGGGAGCGGTTCTGGCACTGGTCCCTGTTACATCAATATAACTTCGCAGCTGATGCGACCTAGTAGATGGTATGCGGTCAGTATACGATAGCTTGAGAGAGCCACAAGGGGCTCCTCCCAGAAAATAACAAATTTCCTGTGCTACTATTATACTGATTGCACTTATATCTATTCCAATGTCATCAGTAAACATATAAAAGCAGACATTTAATAACAGAACAGATTTTAATATACAGTACATACCGGACATTGGCCAGTAGCATCACACTGAAGAGAAACTGAGCCAATGGGGTCACAATCACAGGGCTGACACCCATTACGAGAAAATCCATAGTGATACGGTTCACACATATCACATTTTCTTCCTGTTACACCCACTTGACAGAAGCACTGACCCGAATGTACATCACACGTCCCATTTAATGCACCTATATAATCACAGCCACATTCTTCACAACCCTGGAAAAGATAAAAAATTTCAGTAAATGAAGAACAATAAATATACAAGTTATCTTCCTGAAATTATAGCACTTACAGTAATTATTTGGTCAAGAGTACAAAAATTGGTTGTTGCAGCCAACACTGTTCATGTATTGTACTGTCTACTCTCATTTATCAGGATTATATGGGGCCCATCCCTCACCAGTAAGCCAGAACTCTAGATACGTAGGAATTCTTACTGATAAAGTCCAAAATTGAACATAATTAACAGTTTATGTTACCACAACCAGCATAATGTGTGTTTCCACACACATCATGGTGACGTTCATCCTTCAGAATCGAAGAAGACCATGACTCAAAAATCAGGTCGAAGATCGGTGGATCACAAGATGGACGATAAGATCAATCTGGATCCAGAAGGCTCGCCAACACATGGGACATACCGGTACATGAGTAGGCTGCTGCTGTAGTGGTGGAGGTTGCTCTAGCATTATGCATGGCACATTTCCTCTAGACCTCTGCAGTCTGTCTATTCTCTGCCACACAGGCCCCTGGTGACATTCCTTCGCTAAGTTGGGCAGTCCTGAGTAAGTGACTCATGTATTGGAGTCGATGTCCAAGTTTTTGAGGGTCACATTGAAGCAATCCTTGAATCGTTTCTTCTGCCCCCCAACTGAGGACATGCCCTGACTTAATTCTCCATACAGCAGCTGTCAGGCATTCTGACAACATGGCCTGCCCATCCAGCCTGAGTTTTCAATAGGAGGGTATAGATGCTGGAAATAATAGCCCTTTAATACCTGCTTGATACCTGCTTGATGGGATTCTGGGAGTTCTACTCCCATATGAATATATATCACTTGTGAGAGCTTGGTCCACTAGACTGTTGCTTGGAGCGGCCCACAGGCCCACATACTCACCACAGCCCGGTTGGTCTGGCACTTTTTTTTAGAAAACAATCTAGTTTCCTCTTGAAACTCAGTGTCCATGGTTGTTCCGGTAATACTTCTTATAGTTGCTGGGAGGACATTGAACAACCACGGACCTCTGATGTTTATACAGTGTTCTCTGATTATGCCCATTGCACCTCTGCTCTTCACTGGTTCTATTCTGCACTTTCTTCCATATTGTTCACTACAGTACGTTGTTATTTTACTGTGTAGATTTGGGACCTGGCCCTCCAGTATTTTCTATGTGTATATTACTGTAAACCCTCAAAATTATCCAGGATTCGAACATCCGGAAAACACCCTTATATGGTCAAAATCGTGACCGGATAAAGTTATCTTAATATCTGGCCAAAATGGCCATGGGAGCTGGATAAAAGCTGGTTTAGCCGGATAAAAAATCGGAGTCGGTTAACTTTCTGCTGATGTTACACTATCCGGACAGTCAGCCAGATAATCATTGAATTGTCTGGATATGAAAGCCATGGGGCAGGCCGTACCATATTAATCCCGTCTGGCTGTGGCTGGCTGGCTCGAGGCGCATGGTGGAGGAGGGGGTGGGGTTGGTGGGTGGTGTCGGGAGGGTGGGAGGGGAGCATCGGGAGTGACCACCTGGGTACAGGAAATACCATTAATTTTAGAACAATTCATCATAGCCAAAAACAAAAGAAATACTAGTAATTATGTAATAACAAATATATAAGTTTCCTAAAAACAATGTGCACAGGATGAAGTTTCCTTAAAAACAATGTGCACAGGATGAAGTTTCCTTAAAAAATATTGTGAGTTTTCCTCCTGGCGGCCTAGGTAACGTGCTATAGCTGCCCCAAGTGGACCCGTCACTGGGCGCAAGTAAGCGCCTTCAACAAGTGAGGCTTCACAGGCAAGCCAAGCGCCTTCAACAAGTGAGGCATCACAGGCAAGCCAAGCGCCTTCAACAAGTGAGGCATCACAGGCAAGCCAAGAGCCTTCAACAAGTGAGGCGCAAGCAAGCGCCTTCAACAAGTGAGACCTCACAGGCAACCCAAATGCCTTCAACCAGTGAGGCTTCAGCAGCTGGTAGTCAAAACTAACTTTGCTTAATGAACTGTACAGTAATTTTAAGTGTTAATTTTAGTGTTGTGTTAATATAGGTTACATAAATTATTAAGAATTCTTAACATCTTAGTTTCTTGGTATCTGAGGGTTTTATGTCCATGTTTGCCAAGAGGGAGGTAGGATAGTGATTTGTAATTCTGTCAGTGATTATACCAAAGACAAGGGGGGCTGTTCCTTCCAAGTCCATGTGTGGTCCAGGGTTGTAGCAGATGTTTGAGTAATTCATGTGGGGTTAGTGATTGTGGGGATTAGCATACAGGAGTTCATGCTGTTGAGGAAGTATTCAAAATGGGGAGAGAGGTTTCGTTTTTCATTTTGGTATCAATGCGTTGGAAATAAAATTCTCTATAAGATCATATGCATAAAATGTCACCAAAGCTTTTGCTATCCCACCACGAAGTAAATAAACACGAAGATGACTCGCCGTGACACCCAAACAGGAAGTAAATGTTCATACTCTTTCGTTTGTTGCCAGCCTCGCAGTCATCTATTTTGTTGACAAAGGTCATTGTTGAAGTCACCTCCTAGGATGATGTGATTTTTGTTGAGTTTGTTGTTAATACTTTAGTGCACGCGGCACTCGTGAAAAAAAAAAGCGCCTTGTGCGCGCGGCGTTCTGGGCGCTCAAGCATAAACACAAAAAAGTGTATAATCTTTTCACGCTCCTAACATCAATTCTCGAGCTACGTTTTTCATTTTGGTATCAATGCGTTGGAAATAAAATTCTCTATAAGATCATATGCATAAAATGTCACCAAAGCTTTTGCTATCCCACCACGAAGTAAATAAACACGAAGATGACTCGCCGTGACACCCAAACAGGAAGTAAATGTTCATACTCTTTCGTTTGTTGCCAGCCTCGCAGTCATCCTACAGCGCTTATTTTGATATCACTGAACTCGCAATAAAATTCCCCACCCAGACATATGCCTATCAATGTCTAATTATGTTCCGCACGAGTGTGGGAACTGGGCGAAGCGTTAGCTGTGATTTCAGCAGCGACGACACTGTTGTGATGCAGCGCTTTGAAAGTTTATACTTATTTCACTGTCCTGACATTATTTCTTGAGCTACGTATTTCATTTTTATAGCAATGTGTTCGCAATAGAAAGTTTTATATATAACAATAGAAAGTTCTATAAGAACATGGGTAGAATTGGCCAACAGAGCGTCAAATAAATTTGTGACGAATAAAATCTTACGCGTGTTTGTACCCGTGAGCGTAAAAAGTTTTTACTTTGCTCATGTTTTTTCAAGTTTATACTTGTTTCACACCGTTTTTTTTGTTTGTATAGTGTTCGGAATAAAATTCTCTACACAGACATATGCATATAAATGTAGAATCATGATCGTGGCCAACACAAGAGTGTGTGGAGTGGGCGATTACCCTCGTTGTGTCACCAACTCAATAGTCTCTCCTCTAAGTTACAATACATTGCCGTTTTCTCAAATAGGCACTGTGCCTATTAGAGAAAACGAAAATTTAATGGCAAACATATTCATACAAACCCCAAGTCGATCGAGTAGTAAATACCCACTATAACACGGTCCGTAAATTTACGTCGTGATCCGACAAGCGGTTAAGCAAAACGCCCGTAATTCCAAGTGGAAAATCCAGGGAAGTGTTAATGATTTGGTTCCTTCTTAATATTAATAATAATGTTCCATTAATACATTAATAATAATGTTCTATTAATACATTAATAATTATGTTCCATGGAAAGCTAGCAAAATTAAGCTGAAAACACACAGTAAATGAAGGGGTCCAGCAGAGGTTGGGCTGGTGTCATCAGGAGGAAGAGTGAGGTGGTGGGCTGACTGAGCTCTGATATGACCTGGGTTGCCATCAGGTGGTGGACAGACACATCAGGGTTAGGGTAACTACCTGCAGCATCAGTCGTTTGTCTTGTTTTTCTTCTAACAACCGCATGTTTTGTTGTGTCTGTACATCATGGTTGGGTTTTCCCCAGTTTTTTAGTTTATCTCTTATCCCCCTGTCTCATCGAGTGAGCCAGAGTCTGGTGCTTACCTATTAGTCATTACCAATGAATGGCTACAGAGAAGCGAGATTTATCTCTTTCTAGCCATTTATACCTAACACACTAATTACCTTTCTAGACATTAACATTTAGAAGAGGATTGGGTTTGTGAGGCCTGGTGTGTTGGGCCTCACAACTTGGGCTGTTGGAACCAGTATTAAGCTTGGGAAACTATTGATACCTCTGGGAAAACATTGTCCTACTAATACTAAAACTTCAACAAGTAATAAAGTTTAAGAACTTGTAATTGGAAAAATTATTTGCAAATGGAATTATTTGAATTACTTGGTATTATTTAAAACATGAAATAAAGATTATTTTACGTAATTCAGATATGCATAGCTTACCACTCCACTTGTGAGATTCCAGAACCCTGCTTCACACTCATTGCACTTGAGGCCTGTTACATGGGGCTTACACTGACATTGTCCAGAAACTTGGTCACATACAGGTGGCCCATAACGTTCAGCTCGGGTTCCGTACGAGTTACAACGGCATGGTCGACAATCACCTTTAGGTAATGCCAGGGCATCACCATAAAATCCTGAAAAAATGTAAAAGAATAATAGAAGATGAAAATTATTCTAAACTAAACTTTATTGATATCTTTCAACTGTAACTGTTGCTCTTGTTACTAGCAATTCCTATAGGATAATATTAAAATTATATCACTTATTTAGGAAAATTTAAACTTATTGAAACTGATCTAATAATTTTGAATAAATTTTAAGAAAATAACATTATTTTCAGGATAAAAACAATATCATGTATATTACTATACAATGGCAATATACAGTAATATAAATATATTCATCACTCACCTGATAAGCACTGATCACAATAGAACCCTCCAGTATTGAAGATACATTTCAAACATTCTCCAGTAGTACGATTGCAGTTTGCTACAGCATTGGGATCAATGTTGCCATTACAATCGCATGCTTCACAGGGGCGAGGAGGACCATGGCGACCCTTAGGGTCTCCAAAGAAACTATCTGTACACAACTCACAGCGAGGCCCTGCAAATGTTGCGGTCCAAGTTAATGATATGATTAGCTTGGCACTTTGTATATGATAATTACCACAGTAATCACAATAGCGTGATGCATCAAATGAACAAATCCACAAGGGTCGTGACGAGGGTTCGAAATCACCCACAAAACAATCGGAGATCAACCAGGGGGAGAATTCCATAAAACCCTGGTTTGTGTCTCTGAGAGACTGCAGGATCCGTTGGTAAATCAGGATTATTTCCCAGTTGCAATTCTTTTGACCATGTCGTAGCTCAGTTGATTAAGGCAGCATCTGGGATCCTCTCGGACATAGGTTCGAACCCTCGTCACACCCCTTGTGGATTTGTTCATGATAATTACCCGTTTATTACAATAAACTTGAAATTCTTCACAATTACTAATATAAATATAAGAATCTTTAAAATTCCAGCATTAAATGTAACAAAATTCCTCTTTCTGGTGAGTCCTATGGTGGTTCTCTGTTGCTACATCTTGGATAACTCCACCCTGTTCGCATCACACCAGGCCCTTGCATGTCTGAAATCCCTAACAGAGACCAGAAGCCAAAACCTGATCCTCTCACAGAAGAAGAAGAAACAAAAGTGGTAACTCTAAAAAAAAGAAAAAAACAGCATTGAATGTAATGAAACGCCATTTTGTGGGCGATACCCGGAGGAGCCCCGAAACTTACTAGGCTGATATGCTAATGTCAGACTTTGGCATCAGTCATGTGTATGGAGTTCTTAGGCCTACCGGGGACCATGAGCCAGAACCTGGCCCCGTCAGAGAGGCAAGGGGAGCAATGGCCTATAGAAAAACCTGTGTGGTTGGAAGCATTCTATGTCTGCTATCGACTGGGTCAGGCACTCAAAGGTAAGCATCCCAAAACAAACCCCTATTCTGGTGAAAATATTGCTACCAAAAGCCGAACTACTGGATAGAACTCTCCTGAAAAAAATGAGCAAACGAGCATGATGTCACACGTCGCCGCGGCGCTGTCTGTGCAGCTCCTCCCTCCCCGGGAGGAGGAAGGGGGAGCCCCAGACCCCCCCCTGTGCCCGCTATCCACCAATCAGTTCTTAGGCTGGATGTCAAAACATGCGAAAAACCGCCGACTGGAGGGAGGGAGGGAGGGATGCCGGGGAGCCTCTGGGTCCCATCCAGAAAATGGTGTTTCATTACATTCAACGTTGGTTTTCTGGGGGGAGCCCCTTCAGCTCCCTGGAGCTAACTACCCACAGAGGAAAAACATAGGGACTTTTCCCCGGAGGCGGTCACCACTCACTCCTCAACTCGAAGTCGAGACAACTGGCTGCAACCGCCGACCTAAAGCGACACAGGCCCAACGAGGCCCAGGTTCACCAGGTAATGAGCAGCCAGGACCATGTTCGACCGCCAAAAGCCCTGTGCCCGAATGTCAGCCCAGGACAAGCTGCCAAAGACGGCAGCAAGAGCAGCGAACTTACAAACGTCATGGGCACGGGGATCTTGAAGTTATCTTGAGGTTATCTTGAGATGATTTCGGGGCTTTAGTGTCCCCGCGGCACAGTCCTCAACCAAGCTTCGACCCCCAGGAAGCAGCCCGTGACAACTGACTAACTCCCAGGTACCTATTTACTGCAAGGTAACAGGGGCATCAGGGTGAAAGAAACTCTGCCCATTGTTTCTCGCCGGCACCCGGGATTGAACCAGGGACCACACGATCATGCGTCCAGTGTTCTGTCCGCTCAGTCACCGGCTCCGCAGGCTGGCTAGCCTTAATAATTCTGCGGACGACCTGAGAGACCCACACCCGCGAACAGAGAAGAAGGGAAACTGGAACAACCCAAAGAGTGTCCCCAGACACACAAGCTGTGGCGAGCAAATAACAGCGGAGAGCCACAACTGGACACAAAACATGATGCACCCCCGGCCTAACCAACCAAGCATCAACAACCCAGGGACCCCTCCGAAAAGCAGCAGTCTCATTCTTCGCCAGAAAAGAAAGAGACGGCTGCAACTGAACAAAACCATCACAAAGACCAAAGGAGCAGAAACCTCTGCGCTGGAGAAGAGCATGAAGCTCCCCAACCCGATCCCGAGAGGCCAATGCCAACAGAAAAAGAGCCTTAGAGAAACAATCCTGAACCGAAAGGGCTACAACAAACTGAGGAAAAGAAAGGAAAAGAGATCACTCTGTCCAAAGACCAGGACGGCTCAGGCGGGGCATGAGCAGGCCAGAGGTGAAACAATGCACGGGACAGCTTGTGAAACGGCACAGAAGTAACATCAATACCAAAAGCAAGCTGAAGCAGCTCCGCCAGCGCCGCACAATACGAGGCGACAGTGTTAGGCACAAGGTGACGGTCCTGGAACACCCAAGAGAGAGAGGACAACGCCACCCGAACAAAAAGCGAAGCACAATGACAAAGATATAACCAGAAGGACTGCCAGGAGACCTCATACTGCCACCGAGACGAAGCCTGCAGGTGGGACACCAACAAAGAAGCCACCTGATCACCATAGAGATGATGATAAACCCGAGTCAAAAAGACCATACTCGAATACTCGAGGAGAAGATCAAACCAGCCACCTGACGCACCGGGCCAATCTATTGGAAGAGTCGGAGCCGTGGGAAAAACCTCCGGGTTCGGGCACCACGGGGCCAAGAAGACTACTCTCCCCTGGTAGGTCTCCAAGCGAGTCAGGACCTGCAGCAACAGATGAACCGGGGAAAAGAGGTACAGGAATCCCCACCTCGACCAGTCCTGCCGAAAGACATCGACCCCGACCTCACAATCGGGGAAGGGCGCCACATACTGGGGCAGGTGCCGCGACCACGCCAATGCGAAGAGGTCCACCTCGGGGTGCCCGAATGTCTGGCAGAGCCAACGGTAGGAGTCGGCATCGACCACCCATTCCGTGGATAGGGGAACGAAACAAGACAGGCCATCAACCAAGACGTTGGACACTCCCTGCATATGAACAGCCAGGAGAGCCAAACCCTGAAAACTCAGCAGACGAGTCACCCGAAGCGACCAGCGCCAAAGAGCCAAGGACCGCATCAAACCCCCTGCAGTTCAGGCAATGAACCACTGGAGAGCAGTCCGAATGGAGCCGGATCGTCGATCTGCCGGCGACCCGAACCCTCTGAAGCACAAATAACACCGCCGCGAACTCCCGCACTGTGCTGTGGGCTCGTTGGAAGGTTGGACCCCACCGCCCCTGGCTGGCCTGGTGAGCACTAGTCACAAAGCTCCAGCAGAGACACGAAGCGTCCATGAACACATCCAGCGAGGGGCCGGGTAGGTGCCAAGGCACTGAATCCCGAACAACCTGAAGAGGAAACTGGCGATGCAGCAGCCAAGGCAAGGCCCCTGGGGGTCGAACCTAGCGATCGCGAGAAAGGCGGAAGGGATGTCCCCAAAGGAACCAGAACAGCCGACGAAGCCAAACCCGACCCGGCGGGTAGACCATCATCGAGAAGTTCAGGCTCCCACACAAACCCTCGAGTAACCGCCGAGTGACCCGGGAGCCCCTCAGAAACAGGCACAAGCGGGATCGCAGCCAGAGGAAAGACTCTGGAGGAAGAGACAAGGAAGCGGTCCGAGAGTCCCACACAAGACCCAGCCACGACCGAACCTGGGAGGGAACCAGATGGGACTTCCTCCAGTTCACCAAGAACCTGAACCCAGCGAGCTGGGAAAGCTCCAAATCCCTGGCTAGCAGACAACTGAGAGCCCAAACCAGCCAGTCGTCGAGGTAGACCAATACCCGAACACCTAACAGACGCAGATGGGCCACGACAACCCGCGTAAGGCGCATGAACACGCAAGGTGCCAGATTCAACCTGAACGGGAGATAACGAAATCAGTAACCTTGATGCCCCACAACAAAATCAAGCCAGTCCCTGAACCCCGGATGAATTGGGACGTGCCAATAAGCGTCCCAGAGGTCCAGGGACACCATCCAAGATCCTGGTTCTAACAGGAGTCGAACTTGAGACAGCCATCCGAAAGGAGGGGCAATGAACCCAGGGGTTCAGATGGGACAAGTCCAGAATTAACCTCAGGTCTGCACAGTCTCGTTTCGGCACTGGAAACAGACGGGAAACCCATCTGAGGGATGACGTCGTTTCAATGACGCCCAAGCGAACCCACTCCAAGACAACAAGATGGAGCGCAGGAAAAGAGGCTGCCCCACCAGCCCCGAACCCCCCAAAGGAGGAGATGCCACCCAACGCCACCGCAGGCCAAAGGAAACGACCCGAAATGCCCACAAATCGTGGGACAAGGCGTGAGCGAACAGCACAAGCTTCCCCCCCCCCATCGCCCTGTCAATGGGGTGACCCGCAAAAGGGATGGCGCCCCTGACGAGACCCAGAACCCCACACAGAGTGAGCACCGCACTGACCAGACGAAGGCGGGTCCGAAGGCAGAGCCGAATCCGAAACTGGCACTAGTGGCACCCCGAGCCCTGGCACGACCTCCCAGGAAAAGCCTCCCCCCCCCCCAGGTCCCCTGGAGAACCAACAAGTCAGACATAGGACAGCAACTGGCTGAAGCAGCCTGAATATACTGCGCCACGGCCGAAGGAGCAAAAGAAAAGGACAAAAAGGCGAAGACATCCTAAGAGCCAGGGCCCAGGCCGATTCCAAAGAGGAGGCAAGCACCGCCTGCCAACACGCGAGCTGGGAAGTGTAGAACAGGGAAACTGCATCCCGCAAGATCGGCACAAACAGCTTCAACACGGCAGACGACGCACCCGCCACCGAGCCCAAGGCACCGGACCCCGAATGGCCTCGAGCGCCCCCACATCCTCCCCAAACCAGTCCAAAGACAGTTCCAGAAGGGAAAAGAAGCACAAAGCCAAAACCAAGAGGCCCCAAGCACGCAAGTCCTCAGCCACCTGTGCAGCCGACAGGGAGGGAACCTGCACATGGAGTTGCTGAACGCCAACATCTTGGGGACGGGCAGGAGCAAACAAGCACTCACTGAGGTGCTCAAGGTCGCCCCCAGGAAAACCTG